TAGTGGTCAATTTTCCCCTTGTTGTAGGATAAGTTATTAGTCGCCTCTCCCAAAGGCCTAAAGGGCTCAACCCCCCTCTTTCAAGGCCTTCTAATTTCAACCCAAGACTTCTTTTTTTATGGATTCATCCTTTAATATAAACTTGAAAGCCTTTCTTGAGTTTATTAATCCATGATATATTGATATTCTATCCATATAGCCCAAATGCATCTTGAATTAGATCCATACTAGGCTTATCATCATGTGAACTTTGCTCATGTTGAATATGATCTTTATATAATCTTTTATGGCCTCTCCTGTGACTTATTAAGCTCATGAGTTGTGAGCTCTATCTTGAGTTGTGTTTTACTTTCCTTTAATGTGGCTATGATCTCCTAAGCTCATATAACCATGATTTTTTTTGTGGCTGTGAGCTCTTAAGCTTAAGTAGTCATGATCTCTCATTTGATCTTCCATGCTGCCATGAGTCATGAACTGTACAACCTGGATCTTCATCAATTTATGCCTCAGAGTTGTAATTGCATTCAAAGAAAAACTTTTTATCTCCAAAATTTTATGGATATGAAGAAAAATTCTTCTTATATCTTTACATAAATATTGTGCTTTGTAGTTGCAATTTGATTCAAAGAAAAACCTTATTGCCTTCCAACTTTTATCAAGTTTCAAGATGAACTCTTCCTCAAAATATTAGATACTCTACTTTCTAATTATTAGCTCAAATGAAATCTTTACAATCTTTGCTAAGTTTCAAGGCAAATTTGAAAAATTATCTTCCCTTGAATGGAAAATATTTAATTCAAAGCATTGTTAATAAAGTAAAAGTTGGCAATAGGTAGACTTGGGCGATTAGGCAAGATGTTTATACACACTCATAGCATGTAAAGAGAATATAGTTATACATATTTTTCTATAATGAAGAAAATGGTGATTTCCGAATTTTATCACAACAAAGACACTCTAACGCTCAAGTCATAAGAAATAAATATATAAAAGAGGAGTATGTATCTAATTTTTACTGTGTCTGTCTTTATATGTAATGACTATACATTATCTGGAGTTTAAAAAAATTTAATGGTTGTTGAAGATAAATAATTTCTTGTGATAATTGATAAATAGTTATTATTTTGTACTAATAATGTTTAATAAATTTGTTTAGGGTTTAAATTGATTTATCATACAAATAAATTTAGAATGATAAACATAATAATAATAAAAAATATTTTAAGATAACCTTTTATGAAGAAAATGACCTTAACTCTAATAAAGTCCAATAAACAACTTTCTTGTCTAGCTAAATCCACATCAAGAAATTCATGTATTGCATCAACAATTGTTTTTAGCACTAGACTTAGGAGGCCAAATAGAAGCACTCTACTGAAATAAAGGGATGGAATAAAGGCATCTCCGCATGAATAAAGTTGAAAGAGAATGCGTTATCAATGTGAAAAATTTTACATTTCAGCAATGTGAAAAAGCAAAACAATGGAGAAAATTGTTTCAACTTCCTCGGCTTATTGGTTGCTTGAATTTTCACTTGAGATGCCTTTGAAAAATTAAAGAAACTCAATTCAAATCCCGACAGTTAGGGAGTGTTTTAGGGTTCCAATATGGAGAAGGTGTTGTCCTAGACCAACTTTTCTGGTTCCATCCTCACCCACCACACTCAAATCCTTGCAAACATCCACCTTGAACCTCACCAATGTCTCTCCTTCCCCCGCCAACGACACCTTCTCAAAACCAACCAAGTGTTTTCTGGGTGCATTATGAACTGATGGTGACGAAGAGAACAAGAATACAGTGTGGCTACCGCTGATTTTACCCGTGTTTTTCACTCTTAAATGCACATCAAAGCCTAAATTCTCGCAACTTTGATGGAGAGCATCGACTGACTTGCACTCTGATGAGTAACAAACATGGTCTTCCTCTAAAGTGATGGACACCAGCTTAGGTGCTTTAACTAGCTTGTGTTTGAATTGGGAGTAACTCAGTCCATCTCCAAATGCATACACGGTTTCTCCTGTGTAAAACCTGTAAGTCCTGCCTGGGTATCCCTTAGACTGGTCTGCTCTCATATTCATGTTTGTCATTGGTACCTTGTCAACGTATGCTTCTGGGTACCATGTCATTGGCAGTCTTCCACCTGCAACCACTTTTAATCTCAGTATAACATGTATTTTCAATCAACCAATGTGGAGATTAGATAAAAATTTACTTACTTGGATTGTGGTATCCAAAGATCACATCAGCTATGGCAGCTCCACCAGCTTCCCCAGGGTAACCAACCCAAAGAATGCTTGTAACTTTATCATCATTCTTAGAAAATGTTATGTCCATACCCCCTCCAGACATTATAACCAGTATGACAGGTCCCTTGGCTATTTTTGCAACTTCTGTTATCAAAAGGGGTTGCTGTCCTGGAAGGAGAAGGTCGACTCTGTCGCGACTCTCTGCTTCTATGGATTGATCAGCTCCCATCACAAGCACAGTAGCATCTGCTGAGGCAGCTATTTTCTTAGCTTCATCCACCTGTGCACTGCTACATGCCACATTAGAGCAGCCTGGCAGGTAAGTTGTGGCAACTGAAGCTGCTAAGCCCTGCAAAGGTGTTGTGTATCTGCATGGTGTCCCTGTCAAATTTTACACCACTCTATTCGTTTATCTCCTTTACAAATTCCAAACTAAAGTAATCTTCCTTCTTGAGTTAGTTATAGAAAGTGACATATCCTTACGTTTTAGCAAGAGAAATCAGTACCAGTAAAAAACTAATGGTAATGAAGACAGCATGAGCTAGGCAAATGATCGAATGAGAAACGGAATTTGTGTAAATTGTTGAGGTATATAAGTTGTATGTGGATATTTATACCTTCATAGTTTCCAATCATGGTTTTTGTGACATTGGAATTGGGTCCAATCACCGCCAAAGTTTTAATGGTAGAGGGAGACAGAGGCAGTGAGCCTGCTGTGTTTTTTAGCAGAACAATCCCTTGTCTGGCAGCTTCACGAGCCAGTTCTTGGTTCTCTGGTGTACATACATCCTTAGGTCCAAGTTTTCCATATATTTGGTTGCTTGGATTCCCATCAAAGAAGCCAAGTCTCATCAGAGTAGCAAAATTGTTAGAGATGGCCTTGTCAATGGCTGACTCATTTAAAAGTCCTGCTTTTACTGCCGCTCCAGTATGCTGGCCCAGGAAAGATCCACAGTTGAGATCTAATCCTGTTCATATATATATATATATATAGATATATATGTTTTCTGATGTTAATTCAAGAGGCATTCTTGCAAAAGCTTAAGAAAAGAAAGAAAGAAACAGCCTAAAAGATTGAGATTAACTAGTTGGGGATGTTAACAATTTGTTTCCTTGCAGGCATTTTAAGAAGCTGGGGAATGAAATCACCTGCCAAAATTGAGACAGCAGCAGCTTCCTCCGGTGTTTTCGTGTAGTGCTGTGAATTGAACAATACGTCTACTGAATCACAATCGGAAACAATATAGCTGCAACAAGTCAACACAACATATTTTAATTTCACTGACTTAGAATTCAAATTAAACTCAAACGCATTGCATTTCGTACCCGTTTAACTTCCATTGACCTCGAATAACACCTTCGAGTAAGTCTGGATCAGCACAAGTTGGCTTGCCATTAACTTTATTGTATGAACACATCACACTAGCTACATTTCCATCAATTACACAGCTCTTGAATGGTGGTTGAAACGTATCATCCATATCTTGCTTTGTTACCTAACTTGACCGACACATAACAGAAAAATGATCATCACAAGAACATATCACACCAAAAGGAAAAAAAGGTAAATACTAAATGGTAAGTAGATGGTAAATCAATTATTATATACCACAGCATTGAAATGATAACGATCTACTCCTTTCCAATTATCCAAATCATATGCTGTATAATGTTTACAGCAAGCAGCAACCTTGAGGCGATTTGGGTTACCATCATCACTCTGTTGTAAACCTCTAACATAACCAGATGCATATTTGCTGGAGAGTAAAGGGTCTTCTCCTGGAGTTTCCTGACCTCTTCCCCATCTTGGGTCCCTAAATATGTTAATGTTAGGAGACCAAAATGTCAATCCTGCTAATCTGACGTTGTACATTGCTCTAGCTTCAGTTGACACTACCTGCAATATTATACATGTTCTCATTTAACAACATTGTATATATCCATTAATGGCCTTCTCTTTTTCTTTTTTCTTTTCTGGCTTTGGTTTTTATGCATCCATTTTCTCCGGCACTTGGCCTAATGGCAGTGCAGATTGTGGGGAATTAGGTCAAGAGTTTCAAGACAAAACCATTAAGGACGAAAAACAAAAACAAGAAATTCCAAGAAATTTTGGGGAAGATCCAAAGTTGGTATTCTTCATTTTCTTTCCTTGTATCAAATATTGGAAAGCAAGAAGATAAGAAATAAAGAAGAGTAGTATGATACGTATATACCTTGCCAATGGCTTGGAAGAGTGAGGCATTAAAGGAAGCAGCAGTAAGAATGACCTGAGGAAAACTGGTAGCTCCTGGTACGACATTGGAGAAATGGGTTCCTGGTCCAACATAAGAGACTCCATGTAAGGCCTCAGACCACCACTCATACTTTGGAATCCCAAGTCTACTCACACTCCCTGCTGAGTTCACCAAAAATCCAATTTTCTCTTGCAATGTCAGCCTCTTGACCAAGTCAACCACCCTGGATTCAACCTCCAAAGTCCTGTTGCAGAACCCATAACTCCCCAGCTCGGGATTGCTATCCACATCGCAGGCAAAAACAGGAGATGATTGCCCCACAACACGGATCCAAAACTGGAAGAGAACCAAGAAAGAGAGGAAAACAGAGAGGTTGAAAGGAGCCATTTGAGGGGGCGATACTGAATAGTGAATACTAATATACATATATATATATATATGTATACCCTTGTTGTTCCTGTTAAAAATGAAGGAAAAGGGTATGTCTGAATATGGGCATGTTTAGAAAGTTATATAATTGTGAAAAGCACAGCAGAGGCTGTTTTGTAGTTAGTGACCCGTGATAGTTAAATTTTTGATGAAGAAGAAGAAGATGAAAAACAGCTTTAAATTCTGATTTTGTTTTTGCCACTGCAGAGAAGGTAAATTCCCACACAAATCAGTAAAAAAAAAATTGCTTATGCGAGTCCGTGATGGATTATCTGTTTCTGTTTGTTGTTTTATACATATTTCTGTACGTACGTATATATATGTTCATGTGTAATGGCTGGCATTTGATGAGCAAAGAATATTTTGTTGAGGGTGTATATATATAAGTGTATTATCTTCCCTCCTACGATACTCTTGTCTGTTGATACTAATTCATTCACGAGAAAGATATAAGTCGGCTGATATCTTGGCCTGCTCTCTACCATCTTTAATTAATATTATTTTTCTTTACATTTTACAGTGTAATTGAAGTTTTAATAATAAATAAATATATATATATATATAATACATGTATGAATTTTAAAATTCAACAGTAATTTATTTAAAAAAAACAGTTTCTAGAATTAGAGTAATTAAATTTAATAATAATAATTATGGAACTTGGTGAGCATGGAGCATCACAAGCTGTAGTGTGATTGGTGGATGGCAAATGCGGCCTCCAAAATTTCTACTCTTTCACCAAATATCCACCAACTGTGTCAATCATCCATCTCTTGGGCCCCACACCATTTTATTATTATTATTATTATTATTTCCGAAAACTTTCCCCCTTTAGCAACTTGCTGTGATATTTTTATTTTATTTTATTTTCGGATCTAATTATTTTATAAAATAATTACTAATGATAATGCTGTCCAATAAAGACAGAGGTATGGTCCATTTTAGACTGCAATTTTATCCCCATTCACACCATCTAATTTTCCCGCCCAATGACACTTTTTTTTTTTATAAAAAAAATACATTAAACTAAAGTAGCATGCACGCGTTTATGAGTATATAATTGATTGTATATTATTGATTGTCTCAATTCTAGATTTGGACTTCTAAGAGTAATATTTTATTTTCAAGGTGTCAACATATTTTAAATTGGAGTTTTAGTAACATGAAGTTATTTCTTCAAACAATTATATTTCTTGATAAAGTTCAAATTCTTATTTTAAAAGTTATAATCTCCTTTCTAATAGACTAAATTTATTAATAATAAAAAAGAGATATAAGTATAAATAATTTCTAGGAAGTTGAGGATTTATTAAGTTTAAGAATAAAATTAGGATGAGAATTGATAGATTTTGATATTAATTGTAACATCATTTGTTCATTTTTTAAAATTAAAACTCCATTTCTATGTTTCAAATCAATGTTACAATTTCACTTATTTGACTAATATATGTAAAGTTTTTAGTAAAATCCATATTAATGTTCTTTTTTTTTTTTAAAGATGACATGTAACAAATGTCTCTAAAAAATAAAAGATATAATTCTTGAAGAAAAAAAATGTTTAATCAAAATTGGAGAAAGAGTGTAAAGGATTATGGTTTAAGAAATTTGACCACATCATAATCTACAAAAAAACTAATATGAAAAAAAAAAATTAATGTGGGTTTTCAAAGTTTTGATATGGGATTTATTTGTTTAAGGATTGATTATATGTATTTGTAGGATACTTCTATATTTATTTGTAGGATTAATTATATGGGAATTAGTAAAGCCCATCCAAATTTACGGTGGTATTTTTTATATCAGGGGAATCTGGATCAAGTTCCAGACTAGTGAGGGACAAGCTAAGATCTAGAGTCAGATCCTATAAAATCATACTTAAAGATATTTTTTCTAGTTTGTTTAATTTTATCTTTTGAACCTCATATATTGTACCTATTATTATAATGATAGTTATTTTTTATAATATTATTAATTACATTTATCATATTTATTAGTTGAAAATGGTGTGTGAATGCCTTTATCTTGTCAGTAGGGTTCGGATTGTTACATGATTGCCCTTCAAAATAGGAATGTTAATATTAAATTATTGCTTAATTGAGTGGTTGATATTTTTCATTATTTATAAACGATTGTAAATTCGAGTCAAATAATACTTTTATGTCTTTCTAATTTAGAGATTATTTTTATTACATTGTGATTGATATATGTATATCATCTCATTAATGAATTTATTAAAAAAATTAGGAATATTTATATTTTGATTCATATCGAAAAATCATACCAAAATAGAGTAAATATTATTTGATCTAGTCCTTGATTGGAAGACTAGAGAACCAAAAAAATGGTCCATTTTGATTTGGACCAAAATGGATCAGAACGGTTTGAAACTAAAAGATTAATTTAAAAAAATTAAAAACTAAAACCCAAAGTTAAAAAAAAATTTGATCCATTTCATTTTAGATTTATATCCTTATTGAGTCCTTTGTTCATTGTGATCTAGTTTAGCCTGGTCTGGTTTTGTGCTGGTGAAAACCTTAAATCAAACTTTGTTAACCCACATTATTTTTATTTTTTCAGTTTCTCAAATTAGATTTTACATAGTAAATTTCAAATTAAATTCTCTAGATTTCCCAAATATCTCCAGTTGAGTTTCTCCTAACTCTCTTTTCTTAGTTGTAGTCAAGATCTTCTATTTTATTCAAAATTTTATATGTTTTATTTTTTATAAGAATATATTATAGATACTCTTGAAGAAAAAGAAACATGTTTGTGTTTTGATGATGATTTTAATGTTTGTTAATTTATTAATTGAGTTTAATAGTTATTTAACATAAAATGATTATATTGATAATTCTTTTAAATTAATAAATTTAGTTGTCATTAGACCTAAAACTAAAACTATTTTAATTGACTCTTTCATAGTAAAAATTAATATGTGTAAGTAATTATTATGTGATATTTATACACATTAGCAATACAATCAACTTCTTAATTCTGAAACGATACAATCAACTTATGAACGAGGAAACTAACGAACATGCAACCTAATTCGAACTCACAATATCGTAAAAAAAAGTAAAAATATCCATTTTTCAGTTAAGAAAATTTAATTTACCTTACATTTAATTACTCAAATAAAAAAATATGTTTTAAATTTTAAAAAATGAGCTTTTCTTAGAAAAAAGTATGAATAGTAATAGAGACTTCAACCCATAACTTAAATGGGTATAAAAGTGTTTAGCCAACTAAGTTTATTACCTTTAAAATAATCAAATTTTTTTTTTTTAAAAAAAAACACTTCATTAAACAAAATGAAAATGATCTTGCAAAAGAAAAGGTAAAATTATATAAGAAACTTCTCCATCAAATATGTCTAAAGTTTATTTAGCTAATTTATTATAACCTAATTATAAAAATTAAGAATAAACAAACAAAAAAACCTCAACAAAATAAAAGAAAAAAAATTCTCTTAGCTTCTTCTAGCAATAAACTTGTAATAATATAAGAAGAATAATAACTTATACTAGGAAAAAAATTGTAAAACATCTAGTTTGTGTTTTTCTCTTTAGGTTAGTGTTTCAGAGTTTGGAGCTTAGTGAGTTCTCATAAGCATTGTGCATAAATTGTGTATTTTTATTATTCCCAACATAATCAATTAACAAAAAACTATCTATTTATACTCTTTCTTCCTCATTTATCTTACTTGGTCTATCTCCCATCTTTCTTGTGGAATATTCTTCGTCTGTTTTTAATTTCTTTTCTTTTTCTTTATTATTAGTCTATCTTTTGCACAAGAATCTTTTCATTTTCTACATAAATGTCTTTAACTCTCGACAACCTAAAATTAATCATACATCAAGGAAGCCAATTAGCATACACAAATCTTGAACCTACTATGGACTCAAATCAAACTTAAACTAAATGGTCTAGTGCCTAACAATGTTTTGGAAAACAAATAAACTAGTGGAAGCGAGAGGTTTGCACCTAAACCTTTTTTTTTATTATGCTTTTCACATTTGGTTTTCAAAGATAATATTCTGAATAGGGGAGTTTGTTCAATAAGAATAAGTCATTAATCCTTAAAACTCATTATACCCATATTGTTCAACTCCCTTGGATTTTTA